TCTGTTAAAGCCGCACGTGGGTCGCTGCAGATCCCGGTCTGCCTCAGCAGCTAACAGTTTTGTGTTGTTCTTCAGATCCTCCTGGACTCCGCCCACGCCGCTCAGACCACCAACAACAACGCAGAGGGGACGGGCGGTCCGGAGCGCCTGCAGCAGGTACGGAGCGGCATTTAGTCCCGCAGAGCTAATCGGCGATCAGAGGGTGCGATTGATCCGTCCTCCTGTGTGTCCCTGCAGCTGCTGTACCTGGGCTTTGACAGGGACGCGTCCGAGGCGGCGCTCCGGCTGACGGGCGGAGACGTCCAGTCGGCCACTCAGCTGCTGCTGGACAACCAGGGCGTCCTCTCCCCGGAGCTCCTGTCCATGTCCCCGCCCTCCACCTCCTCCTCCTCGCCCTCCTCTGAGGAGCCCAGCACCTCCTCCACCTCCACAGGTAGGACCCATGTGTCTCTTGAACTTACATTAGGATCCTTTTGTTCCATCGAGCCTTCGCAGCATCTTACATAACGAGACTTACAGCCTTCCTACTAACGAGGGTTTGTCATCAAACACATCGGTAGATCAGTGAAGTTCTGCCTGAAGCAATTAAAGAGCGACAATGTGGATTAAAGGAGTTAGCAAACACGAGCTGGTGGAAAAGTAGAAGTCAGGACGCTTATCTAAAGTTAGGAAAGGAACTCTGACTCAGGGACTGGTCATCTGTAGCGGCCTGTTCCTAAACATCATTGCCATGGTTACCAAGCAGGGAGGGTAGGAGGTTTCTCCTCAGGGGGGCGATGTGAAAATCCTGTTTGTCTGTGGTGGAAGAGACGAAGAGAATATTATTTATATTGCTCAGGCAGAGCGGTGGGATTCTTCTGTGGAGGGATCTATGATTTCTGCCGGATTGTCACAGACTAAGAAAGATCAGCGTGTAGTAAATGTTAGAGGTTCGTCCTCAGACTGCTGTTGATACTTAAGCCTGAAAATAACTTACAGCTATATCAGGTGGTTTCCAGCTGCTCGGCGTTAACAGGCAAGCTAACGTTATTTAATCTGAACCAGCTAAAACAGAACGTCGCAGCGTGTCCGACCAGTCCTGCACATCAACACAGTGAGTCGAGGTTACAAACTTCCTTTAAACCCTGTGCTTTGTCCTCAGCGGACAGCGAGCTGGTGAACGAGGTGCTGGAGGACATCTCCCGTCACGAGGAGGACTACCTGGACCTGACGCTGGACGAGGAGAGCGAGCTCATCGCCACCATGAAGAGCTACCTGAGCCGAGGACGCGCGCGCACGGTGTGACGCGCTCGCCCGCAGAGAGCGTCACTCGTCCCGCAGCAGCAGCAGTTTAACCCCCGAGACTCCGCGTGAGGCCGAGCGGCTGAACCTCAGAGACGACCAGCAGAGATCAGTTTGTGGTTCGTGAGTTCAGCTCAGGTCACAGATTTAGTTCCAAAGTGTTTGATCTCCTAAAGAATCATTGACCGGGTTTCATTATTTGATTTAAACGTCTTCAGGCCGCCGGCGTTTGCTTCTGACGTGTTTATTATGAAATCGCTGCTTCTTAAAAGACGCCTGATGTTTGTGACCTAAGTTTAACTTTAATTTAAATTCAGTTCATGTCTTTGTTGAGGATTTCTCTGGACTGTCTCACGTTGACGGAGCCAATAAAGTTTGTTTGTGTTGATGTGTCTCAGTCAGCTGGGTTTCTTCATAACAGCAGGGCTGCACAGGGACGAACCGCAGACCTCCACCGACCCGCCGACGCATTATATCCTGCAGCTCCACGCCAGCCGTGTCTAGAATCAGTAATATTATACCCGCGAGCTGCAGCAGAAATGATATATATAATATATATAACTTGGCCAACACTGCACACCAACACTCGCTGGGTATTTTCAAAGCTACTTTTAGGAGAATAAGACGTTTCTCTGTCAGAGTTTTACTCCGGCACGATGACAAAATGTGAACTGACGATATGAAAAAACATTGGACAGTAAACGTTTAATTTCTAACAGATCTGAGCGCTTTAGTTACTCCTAACGTTAATCTTGTGAAGGCGTCTCTTTGGGCTCTGGGTAACTGTGACGGCAGAATCTTTACAAACCAAACAGTCAGTTCATGAAGGAAAAGATCTGCAGTCTGATGCTAAACTGTTCATGAGGAGGAAGAAGAACCTGTAATAGTTTCACTGCTTTAATACTTTATACTCACGTACTTTTACACAAGTAACATTTTCACTGCAGGACTTTTACTTGTAACAGAGTATTTTTACAGCGTGGTACTAGTAGATTTACTGCAGTAAAGGATCTGAGTACTTCCTCCTCTTCAGGTCAGATGTGCAGCAGAGTCCGACATTTAGAAATCCTCTGACATAGTAACTGAATGTAAAGGTCTGCAGGGGAAAGAATCAGTTCTGCACGGTGACATCAGACAGTTATTACACAGATGAGCTGGATAATCAGGCCTGTTTAGTTTCACAGATGATCACAGGAAATCAATATATCCCAAATGAATTAAAATCAGCTTTAAGTAACATGAAAATATTCAATTTACTGTCATGTGATGAAAAGCAGATTCAGAATAACTCTAATAACCCTCAGTTATAACTCTACAACACAGAGAGGAGGCCGTTAGCCTAGCTTAGCACAAAGACTGGAAGCAGGTGGAAACTGCTAGCCTAGCACTGATGTTTGTTTTGTTCTTTACTTTAATGTCTAATGAGATATCTGAGTAAAGTACTCATTCTGCAGAATAATACATGTTGTTACTAGATTATAATTATTGATGCTTTCATGTGTTCATCACTTTAATGTTGCTGCAGGTGAAGGTGGACGTTAGTTTAATCTGTAATAATTCATCATCTTGTGTTAGTTGATTATTTCCTGTTAATAATCTGAATCTGCAAAGTAGCTTTTAATACATGTAGTGAAGTATAAAGTAGCATACAGTGGAAACACGCAAGCACCTCAAAGTTCATTAAAGATGTAAAAAAAATAAATTAATTTTCCTGTTTTAGCAAACTTAATATGTTACGTAACTCTTACTCTCAAGTGTACTTCATAAGATTTAATTGTAACGGAGGTAAATGTTGCAGTTAATCATGATGTTAATTTCAGGCTCTGCCCTGAATGTTGAAAGATGAATGAAGCGCCAGCTGATCTAAAGTTTGTCTCTATGTTGTTTCTGGTTAGTTTCACACTATTGTCTTTAATCAAACGTCATCTCAATCAGAATTCTGGGAATAATCTGAGAAATACAATTTTCACATGAAAATAAAGGCAGAAATCTAAAGAGTATAAAGTTAGAAAAGAGAAAGAAAATTTGAAAAATCTGACTTTAAACTCAAATTCTGACTTTAACTCAGAATGAGTGTAAATTGTATTTGAGTTCTGACTGTTAAGTCAGAATTCTGAGATTCAATTCAAAACTCTGACTTCATTTTTATGTGAATATGATATTTGAATTCTGAGTTTAAAGTCAGAATTATGAAAGAAAAAGTCAGATTTGATTTTATTCTAACTTTATTCTCAGAATTCTGCCTTTATTTTCATGTGAAAATTGTATTGGAGTTCTGAGTTAAGTCAGTGTTCTGACTTTCTTAGAATTTTCACTATCTCTATGTGAAATTTGTATTTTGTACATTTTTACTTTTAACTCAGAACTCAAGTAAAATCTTCACATAAAAATTATGTCAGAATTCGGAGTCAAAAGTCATAATTAGGAATTTATTCCTAGAATTCGGACTTTATTTTTACATGGAAACTGACTTTAAAATCAGACTGAAAATTGTAAAGTCAGAATTCTCACTTAAAAGTCAGAAGTCAAATAAGATTTTCATAAATCTGACTTTATTCTCATAATTCTAATAATAGACAGAATTCTGATTGCATTTTGACATGAAAATGTAACTTGAATTCTGAATTTTATGTCAGAATTCTGACTTTAAACTCTGAACAAGTAAAAACATGCTGCTTCTGTGGCGTGCTTATTTGTGTATCAGTAAGTTAGTCATGCACTTTGACAAATTAACTGGTGTGTCTGGATTTTTATTTTATTTTTAATAAAAAATAATTACAATATCTTATAACCTCGTCCACACCAAACAATATGGGTCTGAATCTTTCCACAGCCGTCTATCATTCTCCTTTTAGGCTACATCCTCCCGCCTTTTATCCCAAATCACACACCTTGTTAGTTTGATTTTAATCCCTCCTGCAACTAAACCCCATTTACATAATTTCACTCTGTGATAAATTACTCTGAGCCTGAACGCCAAAGAGTCAAAAGAGCCTTTTCCCAATTAGACGCCTGTCCATTTTACTAGCTTGGTGTGGCTACATAATTTGACAAATAAACACACGTTTCAATTAGAGGCAATTAGGTTTTTAGTTAGTTCTTTGGATCTATTAAGTCTCTTAAAGTCCACCGAGTTTCCCGCTTGAGCTAAGATGCTTAGATCATACATACAAATAAAGGTGTTTAACTTTTGTCACGATGGACAAGCTAAACATCGTTGTATCTGTTAAATTCTCCACAATTCAATCATTTTACGGGAACCAAAGATAATTCATTCAGATTTACTGGCATGATAAAAAAAGAGACGAAGTGATTACAAAGTTAGAACATTCCTTGAATATTTATATTGGTAAGGGTCCACCCATCAAAAAAGTCTAAATGGCTAAATCAAATTTGATATAACTATGGTAACATTCAGCAGGTAGTATCTCTCTCTCTTTCTCTGTCTCTCCCAGAGCTAGATCAAATTAATTATTCAGAATTGATATCTTATCCAAAAGCCTACTTTTTATACAAGTGATATTCATAATGGTTGAAATAAAGAATTTAGATAGCAGCCTATACTGTTAACTGAAGTGTTATTACATCTGATTAGTTGTTTTATCAGGAGCACAGTTTGTGTCTTCGCAGCAGAACTGAAACGGTTTTGATAAGTCGGGTCGTATTTTCTGTTGAATGTTCAGTGAAGTGCGGCCACACAAAACAACACACACAGAAAGTGTTTGATAAAAAACCAGTTTTCTTATTTAAGTCTGGATTTATTTATTGTACATGATTACAGTGGTGATAGAAGTCACTGGAGAGGGAGGTTGAGGGGGAGTCGGGGGTCAGGGGTGAGGGTTTAGAAGTAGTTGACGACCCTGCGGATGGACTGGATGTTGGGGTTCTGGGCCTGCCACTCGTTATGGCTGCAGTAGTCTCCACGCTCCACGATGTACATGCGGCCGCGGAAGTTTGGCTCCTCGTACATCACCCAGCTGAAGGCGCAGAGAAAAAAACATATTGGTTATTTATTAAAATGTCCGTAACAATTTCCCACAGTCAAAGTTGACGTATGATGTGCGATGAATTCAAGAACCTGGATGAATCGATCGTTATGTGCGTGTTAAACTTACGCTCCGTCTCCGTAGACCTTGACGGAGTTGATGCAGTTCTTGGAGAACCCGCGGCTCTGCAGGAAGGGACAGTCGTCGCAGATCTCCACACACTGACCGGAGAAGTTACAGGCCTCGAACAGCTCGATGCGGTAGTGCTCGCCGTGCTGACAGAGAGGAAACGTTAGTCTTTGAGAGAGGGCAAACATTACACTGCAGTTGTGTTTCCTCCAGCTGAGCTTCGTGCCTCCTTCCACGTTTCCCACTGGAGGTTACTGTGACTAACTTGTTAGTAGTAGCAACTGACGCATTAGCTCTACTTCTGGCAAACAAAACGGGTTTTATGGAAAATTATAAGAAATGTAGACGTCAGCAAATTTCCTTTCTGCCCAGGACGGGGAATGAGCTGCCAAATTTGGGGGCGTAATGGATCTAAATCTTCTAAAAATAAAAGCCTAAATCTAAAGGGTTCATCCTCTGGAAGAACATCGCATGGTGGTTTGGTGGATGGTGCTGCAGCTGCACCGTCACTACAGAAAGCTCAGAGCGGCATACTATTAGATTTATCCATCCTTTTTCTTTTTAGGAATTATTGTTACAAACCTGCCATATAATAACAAATTATCCTTTGTTCATGAAACAGGTATTAAATTGTATTCTTGTGGTAAAAAGTCTACTACTGCTGTAACTCTGCAGAAACCTTGTTGTGGACGGGGGTGGTGCTAGAGGACAGGGGAGATGCCATAATATCTGCTGTGAATTTCTTGCAAATGAAAAACAAACTCGTCATGAACCGAAATGTCGCTCACAGTGAAATGTGTGACCTGCTGGTTCAGTGTGAAAGAATGAAAGCCCCTCAGAGGTGTTTACCATGCGGATGGGCTTGCAGGATCCCATGTGGTCGTTGTGGGAGTTCCACCTCTGGAACTCGGGGTACTCGCCGTGCTCCAGGATGTACTGCTGGCCCTTGAAGTCGGGGTGGTCGTAGCAGATCCAGGCTCCGCTCTCCACACGGATAGAGTTCACCCTGAAAATACACAGTGTCAGCGTCTAGAAATGACGCACCAGAACATCTGAAACAGTCTCAGAGGCCTTTATTATAATGCAAACTCAACACTTCCTCCATCACCTGTTGTCTCAATATTTCACTATAATGTCAGTTTCCACAGCATTAATTCAGTCACTTTGACCTTATAGGTGGGCTTTAATGTAAAAGGTTCAGCCCAACGGCAAAGAGGAAAAGAGTGAATTAGAACAGAAAAACATTATTTTGGTAAATAAACCGTAAACACCTGTTGATGAAATTAAAAAATTAGCCCCCACAACATTACTGTGTGGGTAAATCTGGGAGCTGGAAGGAACCAGTGTCTCCTAAAGCTGACACTTTGGTGAAAATGTACAGTTCTCTGTACTAAAGTGTTGGATTCCAGTTTCATTAAAGTAAACTAAGAACTAGAGTAAAAACCTGAGAGCTGATTAAAATAGTTGTTTTTCCTTCTCACCTGTTCATGAAGCCGCGGTCCTGGAAGTTATCACAGTCACCTCTGACCTCCAGCTTCCTGCCAGTGAAGCATTTCCCCTCGTAGAAGGTAATCTGGAGGAGAAGAAAAAGACGTGAGCGCTCTCCTGTCGACCGCCTCTGCTGCCACAAACCTGCCCGTCACATGTCTAGAAACTTTTCCTGTTTGTGGGAGTTTAGTTGTAGGAAAAGCAGAGTGCAGAATGTCTGATGCACACTTAAAGGCACACAAAGGTGATTAAATGATCAACAACCAGCTGTCCAAGGAAGTCTCGATGTGTTATTTGTAATGATTCCACACTTTATCTAGTTTAGTTCCTCGTGAACCAGGATCAGATGCAGATTCATGTAACTCCAGACCGTGACTGCATGACACCAAACAAGATAACAATACAGTCAGAACAGGTAGGAATGAAGTAATAATAATATAATAATATTTAAACGTTTCCCTTTAATTAATTAAGTTTCGTCTGTCCTCCCTGCTGCACTTGTAACCACGCCCAGCTGTGATGTCACACCGTACTGACCACACCCTGGACTACACTTCTACATCACTGCAGCCGATCAGCACAGAGAAGATTTAGAGAAAGTTGTTAAAGTTACTCTTTAAACTGACAAAATAGTCGACACATTAGCGAGTAATAACCTTCTGTTTTCTTTGTTTCCTTTCTCCAGATGTTACCTGAACTGTTCACTCACCGTGTTTCATAAAACTCAGCAACAATAAACAGCGAGAGGGAATTTGGAGGTTTTGATGGTTAAACTGGGAGCTGAAACAACTGGTTCCAGCTCTTTTTTTAAATAACAGCAAAACTAAATGTATGATCTGCAGGGAGTAACGTTCCTAACTAGCAGCTACAGTCAATAAACAAGCGGAGAATAGTTTTATCAGCCTGCTTTTAAGATCAGGCCTTTAAATGAAGGCAGAGACGATTGTGAAGAGAATAACAAACAAGCAACTTAAACATTTTTGTGTCTTAAAGACTTTATCAAAAATAAGACATCATCCTCAAATTAAAATTAAATTAAATAAATAAAAAGAATATTTCTTTCAGAACTGCTCAGCTGCTATCCCAGTCAGTACAGCAAGAACATCACACCAAACTCCATTCAGAAATCAAGCTATTTAAATGCAGGCGACTCTTTATACTTTTACTGTAATGTACTTTATATTACAGTGTAATACAGAGGAACAAGACATTTTGACCTGAATCTGAAGCGAATTTCTGAAATGATTTCTAACACCCCAAACTCATTAAAAGTAAAGTTTTAAAGACGGCAGTTTGTAGGAAAAAGTTCTAATCTTTTTGATTCTTTGAATAAAATGCTTCCCAGTGGCTCACTCCAGTTTCCCCACAGGAGCCCGGTGATCTCCAGATCATTACCCCCCCAGCGTCGTACAGCTGCTGCCGCCGGTTTACTCACCTTTCCAGAGTACTGCGACATGTTTACCCACTGGATGTTGTCCAACCTGGCCCGCAACCACACACACAGTGTAACAGAGAAAAAGTTGGACACCCCAATATATACGGCAGGGGGGCGAGCGAGGGGCGAGGTCCCGACCGGCCGGACAAAAGACGAGGCTTTAAAGGTTTCTGCTGCCTCGACGCTTTCCCTTCATCCTGATGTGTCTGCTGATTCTGCTGTGTGTGTGTGGACTCAATAGAATGTGCTTGGCCTGAGCTTTGCAGGTCAATGATCCTGCACATGCCACGTTTCTACAGAGACAGAGAAAGGAAGCACACGGAGCGCAAATACTGTCAGTGTTTCTACATAGAGATTCTGTGACAGTGTTCCAGTCAGAAATTCACTCGCAAGGACCTGAGCATCAACACATGTGTTTACTTGATTTATTGATTAACAAAATAGAAAGATGTACAAGGCTTACAGGCTGAATATTCATATTTCAAAGTGAAGAAAAGGAAACCTGCCGTAGAACCGGGGCACGGTGGACCGTCTTAGAAGTGGAAAAGAAATAACACAAAACAGGTGATTTAATCTCATTTACTTGCTTTTGGGGAGCAGTAGACATTTTCATCAAACTGCTAAAAATGACATTTTGGACAGAGTTTTTAACTGGTTATGAAACAGTCTCAATGCAATACTGAGGCCCCAACATGACCTACATAAGCAAACGAGGTCATCAGCGAGAAGACTGGCTATTAATATATGTCATCTAGTCCCATCTCCAGCAAAATCAGACAAAACAGTTTACAGCACACCGACAAAAAAGCCTACATGTTTACATTTTTGGAAGCAGGAGGAGATTTTTCTTCAGATGTAATGTGTACTTATTTGGCTGTGTGCAGTCCCTGAATGTATGAGTAACGGTGGACATTGCATTAATACAACTGGTTTAGTCTGCAGATTCATCTGAAATAAGAACATAAACAAGAACAAGAACGCAAATAAAGGTGGAGGTCCAGGTGGAGGTCCAGGTGGAGGTCCAGGTGGAGGAGGTGTCTGAGTGTGCAGCAGAAGGAGTGGAGGAGTCTCAGTGTGTCTGCAGAGACTGTGTAGAAGGACAGAGCAGCAGCAGAGCAGTCCAGATCCACTGATGATCCTCTGTCACATCCAGAGGAACACACAGGGATGATGGTGGACTTGACTTTGTGTCTGACAGTGGAGCTGATCTCAGAGCAGTTCAGACTGCAGCACTGTTGGGATTCCTCTGTCAGTCACTGCTGGATGAAGCTCTCCTCTCCACTCTACCTCCCAGTAACATGGCCCAGTCAGAGCCTCTCCACACACAAGCTGATGCTGCTGCTTCAACCTCTCTGGATCATCAGGACACAGCAGATCCTCTCTCAACACCTCCACCTTTCTCATGTTTACCACCGTAAAGTTGGCTTCCAGCTGATGAGAGAAGAAGACAGAGAGCAGAAGTCATAAATCAGAGTTTACAGAGACTCCCTTCATCAGCTGTCAGTCAGTGATGCAGCACATCCAGTATAAAGACCAGCAGGGACTTCAGTCCTGTTCAGACCAGAAGTGGAGCGGCTGTGTAGCGTAGCCAGCTTCCTTTCAGCTCTCATGTTAACGTATTGGAGTGAACACACTGAGACCTGCAGAGACTTTGGCCATCAGCTCTGTTTACTCTGCAGGTTTCACTCAAGTCCACAGTGGAAATAAAGTGCTGAGAGTCCCTGAACGCATCATGACTGCAGAGACAGAGAGATATTCACTGCTCACTGGAATGATGGATTTACTGCTGTTAAAAACCAGCCGCTCAGTCACATTTGAATATTTCAGCTACTTTGGAAATATTACAGGACAAATCTGTAAATATGGAGTCTGTTCTAAAAACATCTGGACCAAACTAAAGACACATGGACAGATATATATATATGATGTTAAAGGTCCTACAACAGCTAAACATCAGCTGTGCTTACTGGACTTCAGCAGAGGTTCTGCTCTGTAGAAAGACCACATGGTTACTAAATGTAATGATGGTTCTCTGAAATAAGAGCCAGTGATTTGCAGGCTTCAGTCAGACTGATCTCAGAGCTGTGACAAAGATGAACTGATCAGTAGTTTAGTATTGAAATGAGAGAACAAACACTTTGAGATCAGATTTGATGGTCCGACAGTTTGATGAATGAGGACCACTGTCTCTATACATCTTGTGATGCTGTCAGCTGGAATCCAGCTTTATTTCCTGGAGACATGAACACAACAACAACAGTCGTCTTCACATCAACTCAAACACATGATCACTGCCTGTTCTCTCTCTCTCGTCTGTCTTTCTGTCCCATCCTGAAGCCTGTCACCATTCTCCTCTCACAGCTTCACTGAGGAAAGCAGCCGCTGAGAAGGTTGGAGATTTACAGGAAATACTGGATCTCTGCTTTGATACTAACTGTGTTTAGTACAATACTGCTGAAACCAGCATGGACTGACTCCAACCCTCTACTGACCTCAGAGTCTCCAGTCTGCAGTGTGGACTCTCCACAAGATCAGACAGCAGCTTCACTCCTGAATCCTGCAGCTTGTTGTCTCTCAGGTCCAGCTCTCAGATGGGAGGGGTTGGACTTCAGAGCTGAGGCCACAGAAGCACAGCTGATCTCTGACAAACTGCAGCGCACAATCTGAATAAAGAATAAATGATGGAGATAAAAATCCATTTCTAATCAATCAGATGTGTTCAGGTTTTAAATGTGGAGCTCAACATTACTATGTCCTAATCAATGAGCTTTTCCCTAAAATGAGTAGAGGGACTTTGTCATTGTGTTATTGTGGATCATCATAATGTCAGCCTTCTACAGACATCATCCAAATGTCAGCACAACATTCATACACCTATTCATGTCAACACAGATCAATAACATGCTGCTGATCTCAGGCCAGTCTGTGTGTGTGTGTGTGTGTGTGTGTGTGTGTGTTCTGAAGGATCAATATCAGTGATCAGACATTATTTGTGAAAACACATTGAAACCAACAGAAACAAGAAATATAGCACTTTATAATAACTACACACTGTAAAGCATTAGTGAAGTATTAGTAAATACGGAATTCATCATTTATAAACCATTGTTCTTACGTTAATACACATTAGTAAGTCATTTAAAACATAGTCATGCAGGTTTTATTCTTATTAATAAGCATCTATAATGTGCTTAATAATTGTATTTTCATACTTTATACATGATCGGTTCACAATTTATAAATGAAGTATTATTTTACTGACAAACCATTTATATATGAGTTGTTAATGGTTCATAGATTTTTTTTTTATACTTTCCCGAGAAAGAATATAAACAGCGTAACTCATAAATCTACCAGTGGCAAAGCCCAAAGGATGCTACTAAGGGGGCTTTCACACCTGAAAGTCTGCACCAAGGTCCGAACCAAAGTTCATGTTTTGATACATTCGGTTAGTTTTGGTTTGGTTTCACACTGCAATTCTGCGACCGCACTAAAGGACTTTACCTGACAGACCTGCGTCCTGTCGTCATCGTCTACGTTGGCTGCGTCCCTGTACTTGACATTGATTGGTTATTAAACAGTTCAGCGGGGAGCTTTGACTAGAATGAATGATAAAAAAATGTATATGCATATTTGCCACTATATTGTTATTATTATAGCATTACTACCTGCAGCACCAACTATACTGAAGGCTAGTTCAAATTCGCAATTAAACGTCCTCGTTGTGCGAACATTATATTGTCGCCAACAGGACAGGAGGAGAAGACAGCAAACAATCTCCACTCCGTTTGAGCAGAGACCAGAGCGATGGGTGGCAGTGTGCTTCTATTGTGGCCGTCTGTATCTAAAGATCAGCTGTCATGGGAGATTTATATTTGTGTCCTTATTTCAATGCATTTCTCCATGCATTTACTTGTTTCCAGTTTAAACGGCAACCGCCAAACTTCTTGTAAATAGTCTGAAAGTCTGAACCATCCACAAAATGCTTTCACACCAGAAACGAACCAAACCACGGTTCAGTTGATCCGGACCGAGACTACTCTTTTGGTCGGACCAAATTCCGTCTGTTTGGTCCGGACCGTGGTCCGGGGGAGGTTTCACACCTGCAATTTTGGTTCGTACCAAACTGAAAAGTCCGAAAGTCCGGACCAAACGAGGTAGGTGTGAAAGCCCCCGAAGACTACCTGAAAGATGCCCCAGCTAACGTTACTGGTGGCATGGAACAGCCTCACCGTTACAGTCCTGGGGTCTCATTTATAAAACTGTCCACAAAAGCCAAAAATGGCGTCCGCCAAAAAATATTCAGACTTATAAAACCGTGCGTACGCACACTTGTAAGCAAGTTCCCTTTATAAATCGCAATCAACTTGGAAATGTGGGG